CCCTGACTGAGTTAAAGATAAGTTTTAATTGCGCGGAGACTACAATGAAGTGTATTTTGGGATTTAAATTGAATGTGTGCTTTACTTTTTTCCATTATTCATTTTTAATTTGAACTTTACGAAGCTTTTGTCAGGTGTTTAAGTGTTCATTCTTCTTTTGATACAACGTTTCATTATTTAAAATACAGTCCTTATCTCGGTCATTCTTAAAATGTTTTACAAATGTTTCAAACAATTCTAGTAAATATTGGCAAATTATAATGATTGATCTCAATTAATAAAACATCATATTTCATGAAAATTATATATATAGATTTTTTGGATGCTTCTTAATTTGTCCAAAAAAAAGAGTAAAAAAACTTTTTTGTACCGTTGAGGCAACCAGCAATAATTCTAAAGGCAAATGGGTTTGCGTTTCCCTTAGCTTTTGAAACTGAATAGCTGAAAAGAAAGTTATGGGTAGAATGTATTCCAAAGAAGTTTCTTCTAATAACAATGCACTCGCATTTTTATTGTATTTATTTCAATGCCATTATATAAATGTAAATAGATTGTCTACTCTATTGTCATTTTTTCAAAATGCGTCATAAATAGTTATTGTAAATGTCGGAGCATTTTATTACACGACTTTGCAAATTAGCATATTTTAGGCAGAAGTTCTTTATCACAACTTCTACATGTAATATTGATGTAATTGATTCACACTCAAACCCATTCCACAGAAAGAACGGTACAAAAGCAACATGTCATAGCAATGACAGAGTTTATTGATCGTCTTTAGTTGTTCTTCCTCTGGGAGTTCAAAATTGGGCGGTAAATATGGGCTCCCCATGCAAAAGCTCTCTTCTAAACAAAAGTCACTTAAATGAAGCCATTAGTGTCGATGTAACACCGGACACCTTTTTTCCGCCGCCTAACGTTTGTTTTAATACATCCACCGACGAACGAATAATGGCAAACAAATTGACTGGTAAATATACGGTATCGAGATAATGGTTCTAGATTATGTTACACAATTGCTGGGTTCGTATTTCGATATAATTGTTTCCTTTGTTGTCAACAGTTTAGCAGGATACATTAAAAGCCTTACATCTGGGCTGCAAAAACACTAAAAGGTTCAAATTCACAATTAATGTTTACTTAACTGTCAAAATATTGACTTAAACTTGGTGCATGTATATTATGTTTTGGGTAACTTTAGAAAAACAACACCATCTATAAACCGAATTGATATAAAAACAAAAACAAAAAAAAACACGCTTTTTAGGAAATATTACAATGCACTTTCTTTGGGTTCCAAATACATCGTTGCTCTTTGAAAAATGCAATGGTTTCAGCACATCTTAATCAAAACTAACACTAAATATACTAATTGTATACCTATGAGACATCCTTCAAACGTTTAGTATGCTTTATGATAGGATAGTATAGTTCTTATCGTATTTTTTCAGATGTGTCTGAACGCACTTAGTTTAACATCACTTACACACATTTATTTATTTACTCATACTGACCAAATTTCAAAATCCAAACAAACACGATGCATATAAATTGAGACATTATGTAATATTTGTACTTGATTTCTTTCATTCAATCACTTGATCTCTTCAAGATGTTTTGGTCATTTACTTTTGTCAATGAAATATGACGTATTTCAGTATTTAAGTATTTTTATTGTAAGTATTTGTATTACATTTCTTTTACGCTACAGCTTTCCTTATGAAGAAGTGTTTCATATCCGAACCAACAACATCACAAATATTTGGTTTAAAAACACACTATATAGTACATGTAAACATGTTAATATATAACAAAATAAAATGTTATTGAAGTATTTAAAATGCACCTCATGAACTTTACATTTGTCCAACAAAGTATGACGAAAAGTCATTATATCAAGAAAGTCCAATCATTGCATGTAACAAAGGGTTCTTTTGTAAAATTTACTTCAAAATAACAAGCCAAATCCAAAACTGTTCAGAAAAATATTAATTAATCATAATTTACAACACCTGGAAAATGATAAAATTTGGTAATTCCAGATCTAATCGTTTGATATGTCGTATGTTGTAACAAAGTCATTATTACCGTGTTTTCGTGATCAAGTTTTGTATTATTACGTTTTACTTTCTCCGTCAAAAGAGGCATATATCATAATCAAAGGGCTGCAAGCTCTGTTGTATTTTGTGATCTTTGCATTGTAAACCGCACTGTATATCTGTATGTATTCTACTGTATAAGTTTATTTTTATATACTATAGTTTATCTTACAGGGCACCGAGATGCAGCGACTGCGTTTAGATTTTTTTACTAAAACAGTTTGATACATACGGAATTTTGCATGAGTAGATTTGCATTAAAAAATCATTAATGCTCATTTTTTATGACAGCCCCACTTTATCGTTGCATATCGTCGCTACTTCCTTAAAGACACTTTACCTAGACTGGGATTTGAACGCCAGACCTCTAACACCCTAAACAAGCGCGTAGCCACTGCACCACGGAGATAATATATGAAGAGAGTCTTATTAAAATCAAATAACTCTAAATTTAGAATTTCAATTTCGGGTTTGTAATCCTTATTAATTTCGAGGTATTTTGTTCACGATAAACCTGTTGTTTAACTCTGATTTAAATAATTTAGCGAAAATCTTCTCGGTCATCGACATCGCTAAAAATAGCATTTACATTGTTAAAATGATATTCATCCGCGTAATTTGTGATTGTGCGTTTATTGACAATTCTATAAACCAACGCTACTTTTAAACTTTGAATGCGTTGTAATATGTTGGATACTTGTAACAAAATAAAAAAATATTTCTTTCTTTTACATCGCTGGTTTTAAGGTGACAACGGAGTCAATTATCACTGAAAATACCTAAAATGAGATTTTTTGCTTAGTATATTTATCAACCTTTTCTGAACACATTCGTGATTTAATTTTGGAAGCAGTTAGTCCAAAAAATGTGTTTTAAAACGTTTTAAAACGGTACCTGTACTATTTTTATCTGCTATCGCGTAACCTGTCAATTATCGATAACGCCCCGCCCCCTGTTGAGGCATCAATGAGGGAAATCGGTAGTTCCATATATGCGTGAATTACCGGTCCATACTGGTCCATACTACTCGTAATTCATGTATCGTACAAATACCGTACATCTTTTATGAATATCGTCTACCTTTTATTTAGCCTTTTTTATAAAATAAGAAATTGTCGGCCAATGTACGTAACATAATGTATGAAACATAAATAATTAAGCATAGCGGCAAATCGCACGACCACGGGGTTGATTAAAAATATAGTTGCTAAAATATCCATAATGTGTGAAAATAATGTGTCTGTCCCGTTAATCTGATAGATATTACATTGAGTTTATGGACTTTTGTACGGATTCAAGGGCTTGCTTTACATTCAACCTCGTTTTCTAACAATGTCAAGTAAAACAACAACAAAAACAGACAACATTTTTTATGTGAACGCCTATATGACTTGTGGTAAGGTCTCCCTGACAAATTTCTAAACCATTTTAGGTTGTCTAAGGATAATTATTTCTCTATGAATCAATAAAAAAAGATAATAAAATAAATTATCAGTGAATGCTTTGAATAAATTGTTCGCTAGTAAATCGAACACAGTACTAATAAACCTGGGAGAAAGTTTGGAATTTATTGTATATCCCAGAAGAAACTGGATCTCTATGCCGTGCATAGATGATTTTCATGATAATTGAAGTCAAGAAGGTCAGATCATAATGATCGAGTGATACCTTTTATTTCTATTAAAATATGTGAAGCATTTTTATCAATTTGGAGGAAAAAATATATAAAATCCCGTTCTTATTTGTACATCTACCATGGACTTTAAAATACTGTCAGAAGCTCAGTTTTTTTGTTATTTTAATTTATATTTTAACGGAATTTCATACACGAGTACACAGATAAAGTGACACTGGTATAATATAATAATAATGCTGATGATAATAATAATAAACTTCAAATGTGAAACAATTAAATACCCCGCTAGCGGTGCACAAATACGTCCCATTTCCCCCCACCGAGTGCCGCAAATTTTACCGAAAGTCACGTGACATGTGCAACCGATACCAGACTAACGGTAAATCACGTTAAGATGTGAAGAAATTTCTGTTATAAACTGATATTAATCAGCAACTTTTTAATTGGTCAGATGTCACTGGGTCATAAAATGTTGTTAGTGTATGTAACCGCAACTTGTGACCCTCTCTGGTGCGATATTTGTGTATTATGTAATTATTTAGCGTGAAACGTAGGGGTCCGAGAGAGAACAGCCAATTTATGACACTTCGTTTGATGCGGATCGGACTAACTTTGAATCGGCATAACTTTTTTAATAATCAAGCAATTAACATGCGGTTTAAAGCACATGAAAGGGAATTCATTTACGGAGGGAACCGTGTCAGGGATTTTTGTTTGCTCAATCAGCGACTTAATTATCTTAAATTACGTAATATGTATGGTGAAAAAAGTCGCATAAAATGTTTGACGTTACGTAATATTTTTTTGAGAAAAGATAGACAAAATTTGAGACACGGTTCCCCAGATATTATAAGTATGTTTATTTTCCAAACGTTTGATGACAAAAAAATAAAAAAATGACTTTGATATGACGATTTAAAATTTTAGGATTTTTATTAAAAATCAATCATTTACAAAGACATTTTTTTCAAATATGTTATTTTTTATGATGATAAACGACATTTAATGCACAAAGATTAAATAAATAACAATTATTACTAAAATAAGTTGGTTTAAATGACATTTATGTGATTACCACGGAAAGTGTCTGTTGTCACCTTAAGCTGTTTTGAGGACTACTTGTTGTTAGGTTTGTCGTGAAATTTTTTGCCAGAGATTTAATGTCAGCATTTATTTCCTGATCTGCTGAATAAACTAAACATACACTTTTTATGTAATAAAAGATGAGTTGTTGTTTGATGCTGGTGTGCTTTATTTCATTTCAGAAATGCCACGACTCTAAGTTTGGTAAACTAGAAATGGAAAGCAAGTATAGGCGGACATTTGCACGGACACAACCATCGACTTCAAAAGTGTCTAAATCGATCATGTCTATATTGCAATACTACGAATGGAAACGGTAAAATATCCTACCATACTTATTTGTAAATAAGGCTTTAGTCATGTGGTGTCCTTGTAATTTCCTGTACTTCAGTAGAATTTATAATATATTTATCAAATAGTAGTTAACAAAGAAATACTTGCTAGAGTATTCCTTCATATCAGACTGGTGTTTCCGTTAGTTTTACCCATGCCGGAAATTTCATCTGGCATGGGGGTGCAAGATGAGTCGCATGATATACATTGGCGTAATTTAAGCGCAGCGTTAAAGTTTGTGTATTTAAGAATGAAGCTGCGTAATTTCTCTTTTCTAAGTGAAGTTGTAATTTCATACGCTGTTGTAAGAAAATGGTTACAGGGATAATAATTTTTAATTTCGATTTAGAACCTCTCATGAAGATACATGTAAGTGATTACGTAAGTAAATAGATGTTTTATACATAGAGAGAGATAAATGCATTAAATATATTTTCTACTTGAATACTTGACAAAAATGTGTAAGGATGTTAGTGTCTAAATCATGTCAATTCTATTATTTCGAGTACACAACATTTAGAAAATTATGACTACAATAGTATAAATACTTAAATATGAAGATATATCCTTATCATTACATCTAGCAATGTCTAAAATCTGATATATGACGATGTATGACACCTTTCCATTTAATTTAGATTATTTATTTCTAAAAGAGGAAGTTACATTGTACTTGCGTGTTAGATATACTGAGCAATTTGCTCTAAGAAATAAACTTAACACGAAAGAGACATTCCTCCTAAGCAATAAATACACACAATACCTTTTTTTTTAATTTTCATACGAAGAAATGAAAGAATCATAGCATGCTACTTAAATATTTTAATGATATTGGTTCATGAACTCCATCACTTGATAGATAACGGAGACATTGTAATAACTTCTAACAAGAGATTGTCATGTCTTGCTGGGAAGTTGTCGCAAGAAACTGTTAGTATCAGACATTTAATTATACCCTTTACCTTCCAACCATGATACCTATTGTTTTCTATGTTTTGTACGCCCTCAGAAGATGTACTGTAGCCCTCTGATGATGTACTGTTGCCCTTTGATGATGTACTCGGTTTACTGTCGTACTTTTCAGGTTCACACTAGTTGTTGGTGCGTCATCTATATGGAATGAAACAGCTGAAAGCTTGAAAGACTTGTCCACGAAAAACAATATTTACGTGAACAAAGTGGCATACTACAAAGAGCCTTATTCGTTCAACCTCGAAATGTACTATCTGGTTGAATCGACTCATAAAGATACTAGAAGTAAGAACATTTAGTTGTTTGGTTTATATCTTCATTCTGGAATAATGAATCTGTGTAATCATTTTATATTTTTCTTCTTTTTGTTCATTTATATAAGAATTAGAATTTGTTTTAGAAAATGAAAGCACGATCATGTAGAAACTCCTTTATGGCATGAGACATTTTTTTCAAACGGCGCTGAATTGTTTTGTCAACAAACTACAAAAATGACATTCATCGATGTTATGTTGATTTTATCGCTCTGAACTCTTTATTTGCTAAATCAATGATTCTATTGATGCAGTTTTGGTAAACTTATTTTTGATTTTTAGATCTTATTAGGACATACAGGCGAATTGAAATGATATATTTTCTAGGGACGAAAATATATCAGATATGATAAAAAATAATGTTTGAAGTAATATTTAGCGTTTTGCAATCTTGCCAATAATATATATTAATATTTTAAAATGGATATATGTGATATTTAACTTTCTATATCTATAAATTTGAGTTCATTCAGGTTACATGATTTGAAAGATATATTTTATGTTTCAGTCTACGTTTTTCTCGGCGACATCCATGCTCTAATTGACTTCAGCAGACTTTTGAAGGCCATGTTACACGATTCAATTTCCGAATATGTTGTCATTGCCGTAGATGAACGATTCTATAAAGACGACCCCGCGGAATATCTTATTAAAAGTAAGGTACAGATTTTATTGGTTTATTTTTCTGTGAACTTAATTATATAAACCATTCATCTTTTATTGAAGATATAACATTATGCCCATCTTTAGGTAAAATACTATTATTGCAGAAATGTATTGAAATCAAAAATAATTCTTATTGAATATGCCTTATTTGATTGAGAAAATGTATAAAAGATATTAAGGAAACTGCTTCCCCTATCTTACTCTTTTACTGATCATATTGATTGGTCCTTTTTTGAATACAAACTGCCAGGTTCTTTGTTAATGTTGCTATGTATTCATTATTTGTACAATTTTAAACGTAATATATCATCTCTAAGTGTGCAAAACGATGTATTTTTTACATTTAAACAGTGGATGAATAGAAATTATCAGTATTTTCAATACCGAATTTAAGCATGATGTTTCTTTTAAGCATTTAATTGATAAGAAATATTTTATAGATAAAAAATATTTAACATGCATGTACGCTTTTAATTCAGAAAGATGTCATATGGTCAATAAGGTCATTTGATTTTTTCTTTATCTTTTTGTATGTTATTATTGAATGATGCCATTACTGATATTTTCTGTTCACGTTTTATCTAGAGCCGTTTGAGAACGAAACTGCATTGACTATAAAGAATATTCAATCGTTCGAAACAGTTTTATTATTGGTTCCACGACCACCAGAAAACAACAAAACTGAAGAGTTCTTTCAGCAAGTTAGGGAAAGGAACACCGAGCCACCAATTTCCTCCAATCTTCGACCTATTTACAATGGAATTCCTGTAAGTCCAATTTTTTTTATTCATCATTTTGTTTAATATCTCTTTTAATATATTTATGCTGTACTTTATTGATTGTTTCAAAATTCTTAAGATGTTCAACCAAATCAAAGTAATAATCATCATCATCAATACCATCTAATCATTGTCATCACTGCTTCTTTCCTTACCATCGTCAATGTCTCCTTAACCACCTCCAACACTACAATCATCTTCAACATTATTATTTAAGTAATTATCATCATCGTCATCACTGCTACTTCCATTACCATCATCATTGTCACTCTCACTACCTCCAAAAAAACAAACAAAAAAAAACAATCATCTTCAATGTCATAATTTATTTTTATTATCTCAAATAACAGTGTTTTTTAACATCTTCATGGTGTTCATAGTAACCAATTACAAAACACTGTGTTATTAAAACTGTCTAGGTAATTAATAAAACTTAAATGTTATTGCCGCTCCCGAGAAAAATCAAGTTTTTTTTGTCGTATTTACATCAGCTTACCTGTTTAAATTAACGAAATACGGACGGATAAAAAATACGATTTATTAACATAAGTCTGCTTTCATAGAAAGAATTATTTAATCCAGCCGACAAAAGAAGAAGAAAACATAATTAGTTAGTCTTAACTTTAAAATGTTTTAATAACACAAACACCAGCAGTTCTTTCAAGAAATATAACATCAAATTGTTTTGTGACAATATATTTTTATACCAAAACAAAATTGGCAAAATTTCCTGGAACTTGTTTCACGTTTTCTGAAAGACATTTTTTTAACTTAAGTATACATTTATCGTTCTAAATTTGTTTAATGATTATAAGTAATAAGAAAATTTAAATTAAGAAATGTTGGAAATAAAAAATGACTCATTTTGATTGATAGAGAAATCAGTCTGTTTAAGACATATTTCCAAGCCATACATTCCAAGCAATGTCCGAGTTCCTTGCTGTTATATACCATATTTATTTATGTAAATATGTCACTTTTGGAATTATTTTTTTTATATGTTGCATTCGTTATATATTTATGCAGGTGTTGGTGCCAGTTTATGCGGCTTACTTGTATGACGCAGTATATACGTATGCACGCGCTCTAGAGGAAGTTCTGAAGGAAGGCGGAAAGCCAAACAACGGAACAGCAATTATAGACAAAATACGTGATCGATCCTTCAAAAGTAAGAACATTTAACAGTTAAAGATTCTAAATGAATATTTGTTTATATAGCTTTATCATTGAATATACATTTTTGCCTTCAACTCGTTTAGTCAATTTAGTAAGAAACCTACGTCTATTCAATATCTGCTTTAGTGACACTTTTATTATAAAATGTCATGACGTCATCAACCCTATTTACTGTAAATGGGTAACGTCTTTTCAAAATGGCACGTCAATATTTACTTTTTCTTTGCTGTTCCCTTGCAAATTGATAATTATTCTATTCAAATAATCGTATCTGCGATGTCAAATATCGTGATCAACAAAAATGTTATGATAATATTTGATTGTTTTCATTTAATTACATCACATGTAGTTTTGTCAAAAGGAAACTGTTCCCAATATAAGACATTGATTAATCACAAACCCCAGGTCGCTTTTGGTGCATTAACAAAATCTTTTGACGAGACGTTGTTTGAATTTTGACAACATAGTGTAAAGATGCGCTAAATTGTAGCGTTACATTACAGATGCGTCAATAAAAAATGATTCTTTTACACTTTAAGCGGTCTTTATTTTGGGTATGTGATAAATTGAATATTATAATCGCGTAGGTTCATTACAGAATTTATTAAACTCGTTGGATAAAAAAATGTCACGCTCGACATATTCAGTATTGACTCAACACTCATTCGATATTCTTTATCTTTGAAATACAAAATAATGAATGCTTTTTCTTTCAGGTATTCTAGGCTATGACGTTTACGTTGATATATACGGTGACGCGGAAGGTAATTATACGTTATTAACATTTGACGTACATCGAGATGAAGGAGGGGTTGAGCTTGTTCCGGCGGGAAATTTCAGCATGACTAGAAACGGTACAGGAATTCCGGTAAGAACATTTGATACATCATCAAGAAAATGTTACGAATAATCAAGACTTTTGATAAAAAATAAAATTAATCGTTGTGGATTAACAGTTAAAAGTAATTGTTATGGCGTACAAAATATGACATAACAAGACTTGAAATATTTGATTGAATATTTAATTGAGTTTCTTTGTAAAGTTTTCTATTAATGTAAACACGTATGTTTTGTGATCTTGAATAATAATGGATGTTTGAAATAATGATATTTTCGAATAAACATGTTCTATTTCTATTTTAATTAATTGGCACTTAAAATCATCACTTTTTAAAAACTCGAAAATCATCGAAATATTGTATTCAAACGTACAAAATGGTTGAAGTGAAAAGTCGACAATATTATATCATTTTGATAGTCAAATATTGACAATATCCTACAGATGAAATTATGAAATCGCCTTTAAGAAGATTGAATATTGATATAGCCGGTGTCAGTGGGCAGAAATATGTTGCTTTTAACATAACATCTCTTGTACAATAAATAAGTCAGTCAAACAATGGTCACTTTCTGCTTCCAGCATCTCTAATGTATATCTATTTTGTCGTAAAATTGCAAACGATATTATAGTGGATAAAGAATTTTAGAATTATGCTGGACTATCATCAATCTCGTTACAGTCTCTACACCTGTTCAAAAATATTAAATGGAAGAACGGGAAGCCACCGCCTGACCGACCGGCTTGTGGATTTCATGGAGAAAAGTGCATACAAGAGTTTGGTAAGAACAACAAAATATTAACGTCGTCTTTTAATTCCAATATTGAAACTTTTTGTGTTTTCACTTTTATTCAAATGATTTCAAATAAAAATTCATTGCGTATGTCACAAAACATATTAAGTACTTTCAGGTATCTTCCTTAGTTGATATTTGACAAGATACTTCCAAAATTAACAAGTGACATAAAGTAGAAAGGTTCATATTTTGTATTTTGTTTCCCGACGAAATATATGGTACGGATGAGAACTTAAATATACTGATAATTTCAGACGAATGATATAATGACATATTTTCTTTTTTCTTTAGAATGGCGAATCCTCGCAGTATGTATTGTTGTTGCGGTCATTTGTCTCATTGCAGGTGGTTTCTTTCTTCGGTAAGACAGGTTTGGGTTTTGTCACATATTTGACTGTCAAACTATTTTATCAAATCTATTTCGATACTTTGGTCACAGTTCATCAACTCAAATTTTGACAAAAGCAATTTATTACCAGATCGTAACTCGGTGTTGGTTATATAATGTTTTTCGTTGAGGTGTCGTTCGTTAACTGTAGCACATTAAGTAAATATTGTTGATTATTGTTTAAGCCTATGCTATTGCTTATTTGTGCTTTTATTTATTTAAAATTTTGTAAATATATTTCTATCCGTCAATATGAAGTTGGAGTAACCATTTTATTTTATGCTTACCAGTAAGATCGTTTGATAAAATGTATAACACTCACGTTGATAAAGTGGTATACCGTTGGTGTTTGGTAACACAAAATAAATTTGAAGTGAATGGGCATTTTTGGAGAAATAACACGATAATTTGTCCTATCCCTTAAAAGAAATATACACTGTCTGTTCTGACTTTTATCTAAAGGCAAATCTTTATAAATTACCCATTATTTTTGACGTTTTAAGTCTCCGGGTTATGTAAAAGTCACTTAAACTTATAGAAAGAACTCATTATTTCCAAAGTTTCCGATGGATTTATTTCAGACATTATCTGTACGAACAGAAACTGGCTAGATTATTGTGGAAAGTGGATTTTAAAGACATTGTTTTGGTCGATTCTGTAGATGACATTATACCGCCGACAAGGAAAAAGGTAACATGTCTGTTTTGATTTAAAATTAAAAATGTTGCCAGTGCTACGGGGCGTGGACTGAGGCTTGCAATAACTACTCACGTCTATGAGCAAGCTAAATCAAACCGAGTCTGCAACATATTCAATTATGACGTTTTGAGTTTCTTTAAGGATTCTGTTTTTCTCTATTTTGAAGTATTTTCTTAATTAATATAGCGATTTAAATTTCCAGTTACAAATGTCAGTTTAATTTTTCAATAAATAGGTAAGTTTTTAATTGCCCAAATCTTTTCCATAACCATGTAGTTGTTTTTGTTTGTCTATAAACATATCAGTAAAACTATAACTTCTATTTTTTCTTACAAAGTTTCCTTTTATTCAGACAAATTCTATTGTGATAATTATATAAATTTCTAAAATAAGTCTCAGAAAAGAACATTTATCAAGTCTCATTGAAATAAACTTAATAAAAAAGAGTGGAATTTAATGTTAAAAATAACTCTTAAGTAATAATTATTACTTTTGTTTAAACCAATTTATGACAACGAAAAATCATTAATGTGTCGAAGAAATTATTATTTAATCAATCAATTGTTTTGTGTTGTTCTTGTTGTATTGTAACTTAATTTAATATTTTGTCATCATGTTTCTTTCAGAGAAAACGGTCCAAAAATCAACCGTTCAAATTCATATTTTCCTACGAAAGTGAATCGGAGCGTTCCATTCTATTAGAGGAAAGTAAGCGCGAGCGTTCCACGTGCAGTGACACAAATAAACGTAATCTGATTGGCTCGTTCAAAGGTACGATTGTAGCTGTGAAGCATATTATTAGAAAGAGCGTAGAAATTGACAGAGATATGAGAAAACACCTTCAACTGAGAAAAGAACTAAACCATGACAACATTGCGAGATTTCTTGGGGCTTGTGTTGACGTGCCGCATATATACATTCTAACACAGTACTGTCAAAGGGGAAGTCTTCATGTATGTTAATTTTATCATTAAAAAAACCTTGAAAACATCAAGTTATTGAAAAATATATTATCGTCGGGAATTTAACACTTATCCACAAGAAGGCAACTTCATCTATATGAGAGCGACCAGTTGAAATCATGATCATGGTCTGCAATGTTCCTTACCCAGTCAGAAGTACTTAATTCAAAATTTCCCTTATAGTGATGAATTGTTTTGTCCAGAGTAACAAACATGACCGTTCATTTGTGATAATTAACATGAAATGGGTTTCTTTCGCGTAATTATGCCATTTATTTCGCAATTTAATGGCTTTATTAGCGTTATTCTGTCTTTCCAATATTTTATTTTATCGTTTTATCTAACTTGATTCTATAAGACTTTCATACCAGAACATATTACCCTTTTCATAAAAATAGGACATCTTGAACTCGTTATAATATGAAAAAAGTCAACACGTCTTTAATTTACTTAAGTTAGTGTCAAGAAGATACTTCATACCATTCTACCATACACATATATAGTATATTTTATGCTTACAGGATATATTACAAAATGAAGACTTTAGTCTTGACGACATGTTTATTTCTTCACTTGTATCGGACCTTTTAAAGGTTAGTTAGTCTTCTTTTTATACTTCTACTACCTTAAATATTACGGTGCGTCCGTGGCCGAGTGGTTAAGGTCGTTGACTTCAAACCACTTGCCCCTCACCGCTGTGGGTTCGAATCCCGACAGGGACTTTGGATTCTTTCATGTGAGGAAGCTATCCAGCTAGCTTATGAAAAATGCACGAAGGGGCATCTGAGGTCTTCCTCCACCAGTAATGCTGGAATGTTGCCAAATGGCCTATACTGTGTCGGTGTGGCGTAAAACCCAATCAAACAAACAAACATAAATTTTACAATCACATTAGACTGTTTCGTCTTTGTCGAAACATTATAATGATATTTGTATTAACAAAATCACAATGTTACCTTTATTAAAACTGGTAATTATGCAGATCTAATTTTGTTTTGAATAGAAGCCAGTCTGCATTACTTTCATATGTTTTATTATTTTAAAACTATAATTTTTTATGTTTTTATATATTTATTCTTCATTACAATAAATACCCGCATTGAAATAATACAAAAGTATTAAGAAAACTATTCTGAAAAATTATTTTAATTTATTGTAAGTACAAACATATTTTACCAGATAAAATCACAAGAACAAATTCTGATTGATTGAGTAACAAAATGATCATAACCTTATTGCATTTACTATATTTCATTCTTGAATCTTTTTTCAATGATAATTTTGTCTTTTATATCGGATGACATATTTCTTAGAAAACCGGTATGCTATTTTTCTAGTCAAGTGAATTAAACGGAACTCTATGTAAAACGATATTTTGCCGCACTTAAAATAGCAAAAGCGTCTTTTGAGATCTTGGAATAATTTGATAATAACATAAGAGAGCGGTGTAATGGGGTCTCAATTAAATATTATTGGAACGGGCAATTAGATTTCTAAGAGTCTGTTTTATATTGGAAGAACAATTTTGTCACACATGAATTACCGTTATTGTCTGAAATAATCGAATATATCACCATTCAGTAAGGTTTTTTAAACTGGTAAACACCCAATGTTTTTCGTAAAGAAAAGTGACAGAGTTAATAGAATCTTCGTATTTACTACTTCGAGTACATTTGACTATTCATTTCGTATGTACGAAACCATTATACCCAATATTTCTGGACTTTCACTGAGATCTACAACAATTCGGATAAACAGAAATGCTGTTGTTAAAAAAAAAACTTTATTATATTTTCCAAAATGCAACTCATTTGCTACTTACCCGCACCATATTTTGCTTCTGTTCCTTTTTGGCAATAAGTACAAGTATACTGATTTATCATTTTTGTATGGAAGTAAACGTAATACTTTGTTTACATTTTCCAACCTTTATAACGATTAATTTCACATTCATTTCTACTTTTATCAGGTGATAAACATTCAACATGCTCTAGAATCAATATATAAATGTTATAAAACTCATATGTGCCCTTTTGTAAAGGAAACAAAATCGATAAATGTAATCGTGAAACTTCTTTCGGGATGACTTACTAGTATCATTCTTTTAGGTTTAATTTAAAAATATTAAGTGAATAACATAACGCTAAAAAGAGTACAATTATACAAAAAAGTGAATTTAATCACGCGTGTTAAGGTTTTTTGTTACTTCTAACAGACACTTTAATAATTTTCTTCCAGAGTTGACCTGTTTTAACCATTAAAGATAACATTAAGCATGTGAAATTGATATCAATAATTAGTTTTTGCTCTGCAGGCGATGAGTTTTATTCATGATAGCGAAATTGGTAGCCATGGCAACCTCAAGTCAAGTAACTGTGTAATAGACGCTCGTTGGGTGTTAATGGTCTCGGACTTCGGACTTCATAAACTGGATAATGAGCGATCGGACAGCATCACAGATCGGGATAAATACTATGATAGTAAGATACTGTTGCATGCTTTAAACTAAAAATATCAAACATAAAAATATCGCCGTTTGAACACTTCTGTGTTGATGCTACGCAACGTAAAAACCCAACAAAAAAGTCAGATAAAAACTAAATCAAAAGTTTTAGCTTATACTTATATTATCTATTTTTTAATTGTCTTTGTAATATTCTCTATTCTTTTCAAGAGGACGTTGCCTTGGTTACAATAAAATCCTTCTCATCTAAGTAAAATATTTTAACCTAAGTTAAAAAAAGAAACAGCATTCCAATTGGATGTAAATAACATATGGATTTTTAACACAATATTTGGACCGTGTAACCACAAATGGTTATTGTAATGCTAGATTACTAAAAGTGCTGTAAACTTCTTTAAATATAATAACTTTATTCTTTCATTGAAATATTCATGTGCGTCTATTGTCACATTCTATTTGACACAATGATTTGAAATAGGCATTTATTGTCTTTTCTTGTGATAAACGTTGCAATAAATTAAACATTGAGACCATTTGCCTTCTTATGAAACAACTGAATATTTAGGCTAAGATTCTTATACCATTTTGAAGTTTTGAGTTTTTTATTGTCCTTTATTTAGGATTACTATGGAAAGCTCCCGAACTATTGCGAAGCAGTGTTAGGGAAGTGTGTGGTACACAAAAAGGCGATGTGTACGCTTTTGCTATAATATTATACGAAATGATGGGACGAAACGGACCGTGGGGAGAAACACAGTATTCAAGTCGAGGTAAAACTATTGTTATTCAGAATTTAAAACCTAATTTTGATAATATTAGCATCTTATATCGACGGTTAGATATACTTTATGTCTGCTATATACTCGTTTTTGCTATTAGAAATTACAACATACGATTCAATAATGCAATAGGAATAAATGAGGTTATACTTGTCGAATTAAAGACTACACGCCTGAAATATACAGGATATTTGCAATAAATACCGAACGAATATTTTTTCACACCGTATGAGAAAATGCGAAAAGAAACACGGCACATTTTGGCTCAGTTTTATTACATCATATTTTTTTACTGTTGAATACAAAATTTCTATTTAAAGCACAAATTCAGCTACCATATTGTTTCTGTTTTAGAATAATTGTAGCAGGTGCTTTGTATATTTCGCGGTTGATAAACTACTGTGTAAATCAACTTTTACAACCTTGATGCGCAACCCTAAAAGAAACAGAAATAAATTTTCATTAGTTATCCTACGGTCTAACCTGCTGACAGGAATAGTTTACGAGAATGAAATAAAACATGCATACCTAAAGATACAGTCATATGTGATTATCCTTGCTCGGTAGGAGAGGTTAACCACCAGTTGGCTAAACAGATGTGAAATGATATCAAAACAAAGTGTACAAATGACTTATACCATGTATCGTGTATAAACACCCTGTGTTATTATTTCATTTTCAACCCGGTGTTAAATGGTAGAAGAAAGCATCCTAACCAAAGACACCTGGTTATTTTTAGCCCAATCAAACCAAATTTGCAACATGTTCACTTTTACGTATTAATTGAATATAGAGGTGTTCATTTTGCCCCTACATCTTAGAATGTAAACCCCATGTTTTGTTTCCTTTACAAGATATAGTTTAATATGAGACATTATTTGTTTTAGGTGGTATAGTGTTTAAGATGACTTTTATTTTATTTGGAATCATGGGCTCAAGCCCTAATTTGTCCACGATGATGCCAGTATTGATTAGTTTTAGGAAGCAATGATATGTCTGCTCACATTGGTGCTTATGATGTAATCACAAGTGACATGCTGCTTAAATAGACAATCATGCTAAAGATATAATCAAAATGATAGCTATCGCGAGCTATTTAACTGTTGCAAAATAAATGTTTGATTTCTCTTTTGCATTCTGCCATAAGTAAAGAAGGCATAAAATAAGAAATAAAAGCAATAAAGTGCAAATAAAAAAAACTGAACAGTTTGAGAAAACATTTATTTGACCAATACATTGTAGTTTTATAATGGTGGAATCAGTCAATTTTTGTAATGATTTGTTTATTACAGAGATTATAGACATTATAAAGCAAGGAGATAAGGACTTACGACCGGATCTGACGAGAGTTAAATGCGAAACGTTTGTGAAAGATTGTATTGAGGAATGCTGGCGCGAAGAGCCCGAGCACCGACCAGATTTTAAAACAATTCGCTTCCGGTTGAAACATATGCTTCAGGGAATGTAATTACGGCCTTAATTATTGGATGACCTTTGTTTTTTCAAAGATCTGTATATTATAATCACACAGAGAAATAAGTTTTAGTTTTGATGTATTCTTAAATTGAGACATCCTAGTTTAAAAGACGCTGTCAATATATGTGTTTGAAATGGTGGAACAATATATTTGAAGAAAAAAATATAATTATAATAACTACATTGTCGTTTATACTATTTAATCTGTATTATATAGTGATTATTTTTGTAATCTTAATTTAATATATAATTATTATTACCTATACCATTATCATGATCAGTTTCATCATTCATTGTTATGAATATTATTATAATCATTATTAATCATCACCGTCGTTAGTTTTATTGCTAATATCATCATCATTTCCACTCCACCACCATCATCACCGTCATCATTGTAAATATTTTCATCATCATCATCAACATCACCACCATCATCATCATGAACGTCATTATTAATATTATAATTATTACCATTATAAGGATTGTTATTATAGTTATCAGCAGCATCATCATACTTATCAGCAACAACAGCAGCAGCATCATTATACTCTACAGCAGCAGCAGGATCGTTTGTTATTAAAACTTTATTTTTACAGTAAATCAAATATATTTGACAACATGCTGGACATGATGGAGAAGTATGCAACCAATCTCGAGAATTTGGTAGCTGAGAGGACAGAATTGCTATCTGAAGAGAAGAAAATGACAGAAAATCTCTTGCTTCGAATGTTACCGGTGTAAGTTTAGTAATGGATAAAAAACCTCTAATTTGTATAATGACACTTAAGAGTGAAAGAACCCGAACAATCGAACAATAACTAAAAACCGAAATACAAAAAAAAATGTACAAATGTTCAATACAGTCAGTTTTTCTTAGTTTTGAATACTTCCTTGATATTCGATCAATCTGAATTCAAGAAAGTGGCGTGACAAATGTGTTCCTACCTTAAGATCATATTTGTTTTATATTTCAAAGTGAAATATACTATTTAATGTGTTAAAACGTTTCTTGTTTTTTTAGATATAATGTGTGGTTATTTTGTAACATTGTGGTTGTAAATATATTATCAAATATTATTGATTATCCGATTAATTGTATAAATTATACCGGGTAATTCATAAATTATTAAGGAACCTGTTTCATAAAATTTGTTTTCTTAAGGTGAACAATGAATTTTTACGGAAGGTAGATGAGATTGTCCTGTATAAATGACATTTTCTAAATTTGTGCAAACAAAACTTTTTCTAAGTTTTATTGCAGTAATCATATCTAATATGTCTTAAAAACAACTTGTATTTCCTCAAAAAACTTTTCAGGCAGATTTGAAAGGCAGGTTGTCATAATTTTTCAATTTCCCTTACCACTCTTATATTAATTTTGTAAATTGACTTGTTCATCTTTCAATCCTGACAAACACTTTCATCATCCTAGGGGAAATACAGAAATGTATTTTGACCTAATGGCAAACAGAACATATGTTGTCTGGGATTGTTTCATTTGTAAATTCAATGCCGCCTGCAGATTAATCGTTAAATATATGTATTATTTATGTTAAACAGGTATGTTGCAGACAGATTAAAGAGAGGGGAGCCAGTTGTTCCGGAATTGTATGACTGTGTGTCTATCTATTTTTCTGATATTGTAGGCTTCACTGCCTTATCTGCTGAAAGCACGCCAATGGAGGTACTGCTAATGAAGCTTAGCATTCTTCATTTGTATTATAGATGTAACTAATAACCATTTTGACCGTTACCTATTTCCGTTTCCCTTTTGTCCATTACCATATTGTCCTTTACCTTATGTCCGTAACCTAATACTGTTCATTATCTTATTGTACGTTACCCTATTTCCCAGTACACTACTGTCCATTACCTCATATGTTACCTTGTTGCCCATAACCCTATTGTCCGTTACCTGATTGTCAGTAACCCTTTGCCCATAACCCTGTTGCCTATTTTCCGTTTACTGTTTTATCTTTCTCCCTATTGTTTATTACCCTATTTCCCATTACCTTATTTCCCGTTTACCTATTGCTCAATACTGTTGTTGTCAGTAACCTTCTTGCTCATTACCCTATGACTTTGTTCTATTGCATATTACCCTATTGCATGTTTACCTTTAGTCCGCGACCCTAGTGCACATCTTTTATGCCCGTTACCCTTTTGCCCATTACCATTTAACCCGTTAGCTATTGCCCGTTACCCTATTACCCATAATAATATTGCCAGTACCCTTACCGTGATTAACTGATTAATTTATATCACGAACTTTTCCTGCTTTGAATTGCGTTTTGCATATTGTAAACATTAGCCTACTCAATTTGTTAAATGGACTTAGAATTTCTCATTAGTTAGTTCAATTAATTTCAATATCAAAAAATGCAAACAGAGTCTATAATAATGGCAAGTCAATATCAAAACTCGTATGTATCTTTGAGTAATCGAACTGTATATGTTACCGTATCGTAGATGTAATAATGTCTTTAGACATTTAAATTTTACTTTATAAATTGGTTGTATAATTAATGGGAAAATTTCCATGTTTGTATTGAATTGTACATTGTCATTTTGATAAAGTAAACTTTACATTAGCAATTAACAACTAAATAATATTTAAATCAATAACATTATTTACTGTAAATTACTTTTTATGTATTACCTTTAGAAACAAATGTAGAGGCTATAAGTAACAAATATTTTAACTATTGAATCATTCTTTATCATTCAAAGGTTGTATGTATGCTGAACGAACTTTACACATGTTTTGACGCCATCGTGGAAAACTATGACGTGTACAAAATAGAAACAATCGGTGACGCATACTTTGTCGTAAGCGGACTACCATTACGTAATGGAAATCTTCACGCCGGTGAGATTGCTTCAATGTCATTACACATGCTTCGAGAAATCATGAACTTTAAAATCAGCCATCGTCCATCAGATACTCTAAAACTCCGTATAGGAATCCATTCAGGTATCGATCTTAACTTTTCTTTGAAAGATATTTCACGTTTCATTCAAACTAGTATTCTACGAATTGCTTGCCGTGTGGATTTGCATCAAGTCGCGGGCAAGAAACTTTACATTCATTGTTTAGGTTGGTCTGTTTCAGGAACGGATTTGAGAGTGTTTCTATAAGCTTTTAAATTCCAATTCAAACGGATTTGTATAACTTACAGAAACCGATTTAACTTGACTAAAGCATAAATATGCGTATGCTTTATAGTAATGTAAAAAGGAGAAACATATATGTATCACATGAGCAAATATACTTCTAAATTGACTATCTTTCTCTTTACGGAAAAAGTTTTATTAATTTATCTATCAATTGAAGCACACTTAGTATAACAACAGCACAATTTGCAATTGTTAGGTATAATAGAAATCATTATACCAAGATAAATATATAGTATATGGTATCAAACTTGTGATGAAGATAGCTATGAAAATGTGCCCTAGATTGATTTACACTTGAAAACCTTATAATTTTCGTAGGCCCATGTGTAGCTGGCGTCGTTGGATTGAAAATGCCGAGGTATACGATATTTGGTGACACTGTCAACACTGCGTCACGAATGGAATCTACCGGTGTCCGTAAGTAAAACACTACCCAAAATAGTACTTAATTATAAAATGCTAATTTAATCATTTGCATTACAATTCATTACGAGTAAGCATTATATATAATATTGCATCTCCTGTAAGAAATCGTTTTATGTAAACAATATGGTGGAATCGAATGAGCATTGTTTATAAGATGGTATTCATTTATTCACCCGCTTTTCCTATTTGTAAGCGTCTATGTTTGTTAAAGACATATTGATTAATGATAAAAACTTAATTTCGCAAAACCACAAGCTAAATAAATGTACAGAGGATAAAGCAAAAGGCACAAAAAATATTTATTTTTATTTGTATTACAGCATTGAAGATACACTGCAGTTCTACAATTACTCAGATACTTCGAGAACTCGGTGGTTATCAACTTACTGAACGAGGATATATAACTGCAAAGGTAAACTGTATTTCAGAAGCCACCATATTTGTTAAATAGTAATTAAAAATAACAAAGTTCAATCTTTCGTTTATTGAATTTCATTCGTTTGCTTGATAACATTTGTTATTGAATTTCATTCGTTTGTTTGATTACATCATTCGTTTGTATGATAACATTTGTTTATTTGATAACATTCGTTTGTTGATGATGATCATTTATTGAATGATGATCTTTTGTATGTTGACTACAATCTGATTTCATACAAAGTATTGAAATTGAAGACAGTTTGATTTATGTATTCCCATTCAGTGTAATGATTATGCAGTGTTCGTGAATCAAGTACGACAAGGGTTCAATTTAGGAAAGTAAATATATTTACTCGATCACGAATCTTATTTTTTTCTTTTAAAAGGGTAAGGGGGAAATGCTGACCTACTTTTTGGAGGGAGAAAACGAATCACATAGGCAACGACGAATATCCCACTCCAAGTTTTCCCGCTCAAATTCTCCAAACGTCGACAGTAGAGACATTTTTGGTCAGCCAACAATTCACCAAAAATACTGGCAAAACGGGTCAATTCCTTCTCCGACAAAAGACTTAGATAATGCGCCATTCCAAAACTGTGATATTGTAAGACATGAATATGAAAACATGAAAAAGCAAAGCTGTGATTCTGATACAAACTTTGATGATATATTTAACGCATATTTTGATGGAAGTTCTGATGAAGGTGCATCAACCTCTCACCATACCAATAAGGCATATAGCGAACAATGTATCCATAAACGACCAAAGCAAGACAAAAACAGATCGACAGCAGATCGACAGCAAAGCGTTAATCTTCCATTATTGTCATGCAACGGTGGTACAAACTATATTCATGATGATAAAAACAATGGAGGATTCAGGAAAAATACTAAACTTGAACTGTCAAGGAATGTGTCATGTCCGACATATAGTATTGTAGAGGAAGACACTGTGTAATATTAGCTTGCTCTCGCCTATATGTGAAAATATGATCAACTAGATCTAACTAATTTATTTTGAATAAATATTGTTAAGTGTGTTCTAATGTATAAAAAACAAATGACCGGTATGTATTTCTTATAAAAGTAGCAGAGGGATTTACATATCAAATATATGCTTGACCAAATATGTTTAAAAGTTGATATGATACCATATCGTCTGAAAATAAATTCTGAAATATCTGAACTGTTACCACACTAAATTTTTTAAATGGACTTGTTTATCTTCCAATCTGGACAAGACCATGCATTATTTTTAGGGGGAATATTCAAAATAAGTACTCATTGAATAGCTATTGCAGCAAAACAATGATCAGACATTAAAGGCACGCCGGGTGATCGTGGGTAAAATATTTTGTCACATGAAGGCAAAAGGTAAGATTGATAATTTCAAATTAATTATAATCATTGCACAATATTTCTTTCCTTGATATTAATACAACAATTTTTGTTACATTAAATAGCTTATTCTGATTTTACCAAATGACAGTCCAATATATTTTTGTTTTGGATGCTGCAGATTAAATATAGCCAATTATTTAATGTTTTAATGCGTGTAACCCCCAATTACCGTTACGAAAGAAGACATTACGACTGTCGCCAAAAAAATGGTAAAGAAATATAATTAAATGTTGATTTTTTTTCTCCACAATAGCTCGTGCATGGCTTGAGAAAATATATTTGACTTACTTTTATCTTTTAATTGGTGAACACGTCAAAACAAATTCATTTCCCTATTGTACTGAAGAAATTAAAAACAACAACAACGTATTGACCATTTATACCACGATTATTTTAAAACAAAACCGAGAAATGTTTTTGCTTTCTTATTTAGTTACTAGTCATTAGTCTGAGTTTTTACGTTAAGCCATTGGGAAGAATACTATAGTTAGACATGTTACAAAATAATTACAAAGATAAGTCTTTTTATAGAAACGGAATTAATGTAATGTCTGTATCTATCAAAAGTAGTATTTTTCTTTTTACTGTATTCTGGACCAAAACACAAACGTTATATATAGTGTTCTATGGTAATAAAGTGAAGGTATGTTTAAATTGATATGAAAAGTCTGGAAGAATGAATGTGTTATATTATAAACACAGTTTAAGATTTACTATGTAATTTGTAAGAAGGGTTTTAATAAAAAGACGACTTCATTTGATTTACAATGAGTATCAGCATTTTGTGAAAAGAAACATTCCTGTGAACTTTCACTTTGTTAAATAAGTATTTATATTTATGTATTTAGATTACATTTTATTTGCATATTGTTTTTACATTATGTTTAACATAATGTCTAGGTATTGTTTAATGATGAATTGTTTTTATGTTAGTCTGTATATTTCTGCTTGAAGTCAAATGCATTCATGATGTATATTTTCATTTCTTAATCGTGGCTTTTTGGTAGAAATATACTTCATACTTTTCAAAAACTTCAAAATTGTTTTCATACTCTTTTGGCCGTAAGTTAACCTCATTTTAACAATGAGTTACACTTTATAGTTCCCAAACATAGTATTAGTGTTTAGCAAACTTTTAACACGTTCAACGCTCGCGTTCAACGAAGCATATTTTGTATTAATTCTTCAAATATTTTTTTTAAATAATATCATTTTATAGCATCAAAGTAAATACAATTGTTCGTTCTGCAGATTTCTGACTGCCTTTACATAGATTGATACCCACTCTTTAATGTACAAAAAAAATTCAAAAAATTTCAGTCTGAAAAAGATCCCTCTTGGGCAATGAAAAATATAAAAAGGTTAAATAGTAAAACTTACAGACGCTATTTAACTGAGTCTGTACTTGAAAGACATTGAATCTCTCATGCCCCTATCACCACCTTAAAAAGTGCTAAAATCAGTTATCCCGAAGAACGAAAACAACAATGAAGTGGTTTTGTTTCATTTTTGTGACGTTGCGCACTATTTGTTTGTCTCTATGAAAGAGATACATTATTTAAATTGTTAATAGAATTATCTTTTTTCATGGAGTTTTAACAACTTTAACAGTTCTGCTTATTCTCTCAGGTAGATGCATAACTAACAGTGTTTTTACAGTGTTTTTACTTTTATTAATTGTCTTGTTATTTAACTGCAATAAAATCGTTAGAACAGTTGCCATTGTCAATTGTTCATTTTACCTCTTCAATCGTTGTATCACTGTTAAGGTCCATACGCAGTTAAATGACCAAAGCAGCTAAAACAATTGGTATAACTTAGCATTTGATCAATTCATAATCAATTGATTATGAAATTTATACCACAATTATTTTCTTTTACTTTTAAATTAATCTAAACTGATCTGAGTACACTGCTGATCAATACTTAATTTTAGAAGGCAATGTTTACATCTTGATATAAAGTGATGTCCAAACCGAAATATGATTCGTCAAAATAAATGTTTATAGTCCTGTTTGAAGCATAAGCTTATTTATTGTAAAATCACTTTTATAAAGGAATACTTCAAACCAGTAGAATTTCACGTTAGATATCATAAATAAATTTGGAAGACAAGACAGAAAATTCCAACACATATATATTGATTACATTCCATTTGTTCTGGATAACAAGTTCAAGAGCACAACATAATTTATCCTTTCATACAAAACACCATTAGTGACATTTAAACTCCGGATATAATTTTCCATTCCGTTGAAGTCGTTGCAATAATACTTTTGACGGACATTGGAGACAATTCAATAAACAAAACAGCCGGAATAATGAATATGGCATGATAATTGTCCTGAATCAAGAGTAGTAATGGTGTTTACACAGTTAACTTCTATTGATAATAACAAAATTTAAAATGAATAGATAAATAATGACCAATTTGAATGACTGTGGTCAATGATTTACGATGATTTTTCCCCAATTATTACTAATAATAACGATATACTAATAATTATTGATTAAGTTAATGGTACTGGTGAGTAGCAAATGGAAAATGATGAGTATCAGTTACTTGTTATGATAAAGACGTATTTAAGGATAAAAATGACGATTGAAGTAATAAATGATAATGCCAAGATTCAATTTCTATATTTTACGTTGGGTATAAATAGTAATTTTATGAATATCATAGCGATAGGCAATAACAGATTTCACAGACAACGCGTATTAGAAATGATAGTTATTAGTATCAATGATTTGTTATTCCAATTAAAATAATGAGTACAAATGCCTTATCGTGAGTGTTCCAGGTTTCATGATTTTTATAAATGCCTAATGGTGAGTATCAAAAACTAAGAATGGGTACAAGTTATTATGCTAATGATTAGTATGAAAGACAATTATGAGTACCAGACAAAATGATGAATGGGTATAATGTCTAATGATGAGTACCAAAGTGAATTAAGAATACCAGTTATCATGACGAATTTAATGAGTAATAGGGAGCATCAAAGTGAATAATAAGTTCCAATTGTCATGAAAAGTATATTAATTACTAATGAGGAGTACCTAAGTTAAAAAAGTACCAGTTATCATGATGAGTACAATGAATAATGGGGAGTGTTAATGTGAATTATGAGTACCAATTTTCATGATGAGTATAATTACCTAACGGTGAGTATCAAAGTAAAAATTTGTACCAAATATCTAAAGAGATATTAATAAAAAATGGTTATTTTTATAACAAAAGTGTCTTATTTCTTCTTTTTCTCAGAGTTGTAAGAGAACGACTACACGTAACACAAGTTTATCACTCAAATGCGCATTTAATGACAGATGGTTTATGAATGAAATATTTTTTGGTCTCATACTTTCGAACTTACCGTACAGTCGCTTTAAAATCCGTTTGAGCAAGAGTGATATAATACAAAATGGGGTTCTCGATAAAAAGGCATGTGTGATTATCCTTATTGCTGTTTCTTTAAACTTTACAAACAAGTTTGCATGAAAAGTACAATGATCAGTTATTTAAAACTCTTTGTTAATGAATCGAACTGATAAATTACTCTTAAATATCAATCATTATCAATGTTTAATCGGATAAGTTTATTCGTACCGATACTTTGCGACAAGGCTATCCTACTAACGAAATAGATTTAAGCATATTGATATTTTCCTTGTTCGTAAGTGCGGTATTTATTTCTTTGGGTTTGGTTGCTTAGCTTTTTCCTTGTCTTTTTAATTACTATTTCAATGACATAACTACAGAGCAAAATAAATGATGATATTACTTTCGTGTGTTCATTAATTTTAGATTATGTTAGTTCACGAGTTCATTATTACACAAAACGGAAAAAATGTAATTTAATATATTGTTAAGATGCTAGGTGTGTGACCAGACATTATCCGTGTCAATGAACCGTCGTACTGAGGACACCGTTGCAACGTTAACATTTTCCATCCGTTAATATGAAATCCACTGTGGATAAACTAAAATCATACTTGTGGTAAACCCGATTTAAAAATATTTATAAACACACCAACAGTAAGTTTTATCATTCGCGAAAGGTTTTTTTGGTATATATAATATAAAACTGTTGTTTCCTGTATTAATAATTAAATAAGGCTTTTGATTGAACATTTTCCCTGAAGTTAAAATACTTATCAGCTTCAAAGAATATTTTAAGAGGCGACTTAATGGGCTCGAATAACTGTCTATCTAGGTATTTGTGACCCCTGCTGTAAAAAATATTTCATTTCATTATTTGATTTATTGTTCAAGAAACTAATCTTATTTCTTTTATAATACAATACATACAGAGAGGTTATACTAACCATACGGTTTCCGTTATATTATCAATCATATAAACAACGTGTATCAATCAATTCATTGATTAAACTGTATTACATGAAGAGCATTTGTTATCGTGTTTTTGCAACAAAATATGCCGGTTATGCTCTTTTCAATATTGTATTTTTAACACACTAGTTTCAGCCAACAAAATAAGATTAACATTTATAAAACACTTCACACCAGACATATATAAATCATACGAAAAGAAATTTGCTTTGGTTATCTGATTTATATCCAAATTAATAACCATTTTCTGTTTTTTTGAAGGAGTCTGTATTTTAATATAATTTTGTTTTGGTACCGTCAATTAATTTTGTTTGGAGACATTGAGCCAATACATATGCGTTTATCGCCTGCTCGTGCAATACATTGCCCGGGAAAAAGTAGCAGACGACATATGTCGACAGGGTAGCTTGATAAATTCGACTTTAGTGTCATTTCAAGCAGACATTAAAGAAAGAACAATGTGGGTGTAGTA